GTGCACCGGACGGGAGGATCAACAGTACTGATTCTTCCGAAGTGAGTTCAACAACAACCCGCGCCGCGGAACCTCACTTCAACCACGCGCCCAGGGAGTGAATGGCATGTCCGCCCCCTCTGACCCACGAGGCCCCCTGACCGTCCCCCTGCAGACCCTGCCATCTCGGCGGGGCGGCGGGTCACTGAGCAACTAGGCTCCTCCATGTCATGTCCCCCAGCTGGCCTTTTGGGGACAGGTGCTCTTCCACGGGGCTGGACCGCGGCGTGGCGCCCAGCTCCCTTCCACGTGTCAGAGATGCCTCTCTACGACTCAAAGGCTCATCTCTACCCTCTTGAACACCAACGCATCATGAGTACGACTCGCCTCTCCCCTGACCTTGCCGCGAAGATACCCGACCCTCTCCGCGTACGGTTCTTTATACACAGGATGACAAACAATGGTGTGCCTTACGTGTTTGATTTGCCCTCTGCTTTTGTTACAATCCGATTGCATTCGGCGTTTCACTATGGATCTCCCGCTGCAGCGAGGGCTTCAATTTCGGATTGGCGCTGTGCTCCCGACGTTCAGAGTGGCCCTCTCGCCCCAGCGCGGGCAACTGTTCTAGATCCGAGTCACTTACATCGTTGTTGCCCTTCTCGTGTTCTGCACCTTCCCTGGGTCCTGCTGCTTCTCGTGCGCCTTAAACTCCAACTCCTGCTGCTGCTAATCGTACAATTCCTCCTCCTTCCTCATCTTCCTCCTTATCATCCTGCACATCGGCAACCTCCTCCACAAGTGCACGCAGCTCCTGTTGTTGTTCTCTGACTGCGCAAGATACGATGGGGTCCTCTTTGGATCCCTGGGGATTTCCAGGTCCGCTATGGCACGCGTCGGCGGCTATAGAACGCACAGCACATTGGGAGGGGAGAGGTGGAAGGGGTAGGATGTCAGATATGGCGCGAGCGCAGCTAGCTTGCCACCTCCCTCTCGCCCTCCTGCCTCTCTTTCCCCGCGTCCTCCTCTTCTTCTTGCCGGGAGGAGGCGACGGGGGGGGGGTCAAACCGATGCCAACCGCCAACGTGAGAGCGGAAAGGGGGAGAAGGTGGATGGCGGGTCGCAGATCTGAGAGGCACGGGGAGGAAAGAGATCGAACGAGGAGGAAGAGGATGCTGATGATGTCACGCCCATGGAGACGAGCATCCCAATGTCACCCCGAGACTAAATACTAAATATTAACATGCACAAGAGAACTCACCGTGACAAGTATCCCCCGGAAGGGGAAGTGGAGGAACAGAAAGATGCAAAGAAGCTAGAGGAGGAGGACGACGAGTACGGAGAAGAACGGGGGGCCACTGTGTATCTCCCTGACCATCAATTCCCCTCATCCCTTCAACACCCATGTCCTTTCCCCCATATCCCGTTGTTTCTGCTCCACAGGCTCATAATCCTCTCCACGTGTTGTATCATCGTCCCATTTCGTCTGCGTCCTCCTGCTCCGCCGCCTCCTCATCATTTGCCACTCCAGGAAATTTACCTCTATCCACATGTATCATCTACTCCTCCTCATCCTCCTCCTCCTCATCCGCCTCGTCCTCCCCCTCCTCCTCCTCCTCCTCCTCCTCCTCCTCCCCCTCCTCAAATACACAACCGTATCTTCCTCCTCCTCATGCTCCCCCATCCTCTACCTGCTTCCGATATGTCTCATCCTCCTGCCCCGCTTCCTGTCATTCACTCGCGCCCATCCTTCCCCTTTTCCTGCTCCTCCTCCGCCTCCTCCTGTAACGACGACGGCGAAGACGACGGCGTGGACGCAACCGATGACGACGTCGACGGCGACAGCAGTCCTACACGACTGGGAGCCGCACGTGTAAACAATACTGTATGCGGGCCCTCACCAGATTGAACGCCTCACGCTCGTACCTATCCCGAGCAATGCCCACTCTGGTGCGCGTCGTGTGGTATGTAACTATAGTTTCATGGTCATGCTCTTGTTCAAGAGCATGTCGGACTAGGTCCGAAATCGCGACGCCAGAGGGTCGCGCCGATGCATCGGCGAGATGTACATCGCCAACGTCAACAATGCATTGGCGCCGTGGGAATGGAACACATCGGGAACACCGAGGCGCCTCGCCGATGCATCGGCGATGCGTCGCGCCCCACCGACCCCATCTTCTCCAGCCCCACTTTGGGGATACAACGAGATACCGATACCACTCCCTCTGGACTCCCGCGGTGCGTTCTGAGTACACATAGGTCGGGCATCCCCCCGTACAGGCGAATTGTGCACGAGACAGCAAAGCGAATTTAAACGTGCAAAGAAACAGCAATGTTCAAACAATCGTCCCCGAATGTTTGTCGGGTTCTTACTCAGTAAGCTTTAAAGGCCGGGCAGTGGGGCCCGCCCCGGGCGGTTCCCCCAGTATCCGCCCCGCGGTTCCCCCAGTGGCGTTCCCTTAGCTTCGCGTTGCCTATCTCATCTTAGCTTAGCTTATCCCATCTTACCTTAGCTTAGCTTCATCTTACCTCAGTTCCCTACCTAGGCGCTGCCTAGAAGGATTCTTAATCAATATGCTTAAAGGGCCGGGCAGTGGGGCCCGCCCGGGGCGGTTCCCATAGTATCCGCCCCGCGGTTCCCCCACTTACGTCCCTTTTAGTTTAGCGTTGCTGATATCATCTTAGCTTAGCCTATTTCTTCTTAGCTTAGCATCATCTTCGCTTAACGGAACTTCATATATATAAGTTACTTTCTTCGATCCTCCAACTCCTAGGTAGGGCCGCGCTGGGATAAGTTTGATTATTTTCGAATACTGCTCCTATAGAGGGACACGCCCGACTTAACACTGCAAATTTCGATGCGGATCCACCGGCTGCGACGAAGGCCCCCCTGCGTGTCGGCATTTGTTCCTCTCCTGGCGCCGGCGCGAGATGGCCACGGAGCCTCTAAAGCCTCCCTCCCCCGCTATTTGACGATGCTTGTCTATTCCTCTCCTCCCGACAATTTTCATGGGCATCGTTTCTGGATGGGGTGGTGGGGGTACGTTTTGGTACGCGGGCGAACGAAGACAAGTGCGCGGGCGAAAGAAAACAAGTCGAACGCCGAGCAAGCTAGGGCGGGCTGCGCCGAAGAAAAAAAGGCTGGTGGGGAAACTTTTGTTCGTGAGCGACACGGAGCAACCGTGCCCCGTCAAGGAGCGGAGCAACAGCGCCACGATCGACATTAGGCACTAAGCGCGCAGGAGCTAACTACGCGACGACTCACTAGGCGAAGAAAACGCGGAAGACCAGGTCCACGAGGAACGCCAATGCCGATAAACAAAACCAGGAAGTGCACCAGGTCTGCGTGCAGGGCCAAAATGGCGAAACTTGTCACAGACCGCAGTCGCGAAGTCGAAGGGGACGATGACCACAGTCACGTCGTCAGGGGCGAGCCGTGCAGGCGCACAACGGAAGACGCCGGGAAACACGGGGGGAATGAAGCCGCGAGCGCGATGAAGGCGAAAGTCCGTGCAGGGGGGCAATACGACGGGGGGCGCGGCGGGCAGCCGAACCGCCAAGCAGAGCATTGACAGCGAAGCGGCAAGGCGCCATGATCCATACCTAGCGTGAAGCGACATCGCCGATCAAGCGGAGGAGGACGCTGGCCAACACGGGGAAGACAAAGTGTCCGTCGACCCCGAACGGGCGGGGGCCCGGCGCCCACGGGCGATGGGCGATTGGTGGGGAAACTGTTTGGTCAGCGGCCTCGTGAAGCGGGTCAAAAGGCGTCCAAACTCTAGCCGGGCCACGACTAGGCAGCGGAAGCGGAAAGCGGAAAAGCAAGACAGGCGCAGCAGGGCGTCAGCTCAGAAGGGCGAAGTGGTGGGGAAACGCGAACCGTCCAAAGTTTCAAGACGAATCCAGCGGCTGCGACGAAGCCTCCCTGCGTGTCGGCACTCATTCCTCTCCTGACGCTCGCGAACCCTGGACCGAACGGTGCCGATGCCTCCCCCGAGATCGGACGCTGCCCCAAATCACGACATCATCAAACACCACGACCAGAGACCTCGACGGAGGAGGACGAGGAGGAGGAGGAGGGGTAGGAGGAAGACCCCACCTTCCCGCGTCATGCTTCGGGTCGCATCTATCCGGGAGGGATCCGCGGCCCTCAAAACACTCGGAGCAACCACGCCTGGATCTTCTGAGGGTCCGACGAGGGCCGCCGAGGGCTGAAGGTGCGCCGAGAGCCACGGAGGGCAGGCCAAGGCCGCGCTAACGGCGATGTTGGTTAACGGCGATGTTGGGAATATGATTATTGTGACACCGAGCTCGAGCAGAACAAATGGTAGGAACTTACGAACCACACTCCCCTACATGTCAAACGTGCGAATGTATCAAGCGAGAACGACGCAGCGAAGTGCAGGAAAGTACGAGCCACGATGACCTACAATTGGCTTGGCCGCGAACCAATCCCAGCTGCAATGCCGAAGCCTACATCCGGCAGTACCTGCATTGCCGTTAACGCGTCTACGGGTAAAAAAAGAAAACGGCATACAGTGGAGGCCAGTCCACGAACAATAGTTCCACAAGAAACCCAACCTGGAGACCCCGGGGCCCAGGGAGCCCATGGACTCTTGGTTTGGTGTGGGAGCGTCGCGCCTTCTGCAGCAAGACCATCGGAACCCAAGACACCCAGGGCACGCTGGAGACATGCAGGGTGCTTCTTGGCATGGGTCTCCAAAGTAAACATCAAATGTTGGCGCTCCGCGGGGATTTTTGGGATCTGCACTGGACCCCCCTCCCTGGCGTGCGGAGCGAGCTAGGGGCGGCGCCGGAGGCGCCGCCTGGGGGGGCCCAGCGCGGATCCAAGAAATCCGCGCGGAGCGCCACAAGTTCATGTTTATGCCACTTCTTCCTCGAGCCGAGGGCCGCCGATCCGAGGGTGCGCCGAGGGCCGCCAGGGGGGCCCCCGCGGACCGCCGCAGGACGCCGTGGGGTTGCCAAGGGCGGCGGCGGACGGGCGCGGGCACGGGGGCGGCGTCCTGCCCTCGGGCCAGTGTGCGTCCCAGCGGTCTCGGCCTCCCGGCTGGGAGGCCGTCGTCCCACGGGGCATCGTCGCCGTTTAGGCCGTCTTGCTCGTCATCGTCAGGGTCGTCACAGCTCTGGCCGTCTTCACCGTCGCCGTGTTGGTCGTCGTCGTTTGGCCCGTTCTGGGCGTCTCGGCCTCTGAGTCGTGCTGGTCGTCGTCCCGTCGCCCGGTGCTCCCAGACGTCGTCGCGCCGTCTTGATCGCCTTCTTTGTGGTCGTCTTGATGGCAGTCATGTTCGTCGTCGTCGCAGGGCTCGAGCTAAACAGTGTGGTCCCTTGTCGTGTTCTCCAAATTTTCCCTCGTTCTGTCTTCGTTCTGCGATTGCTGCGAAACGACGCCAAACGAAAGCGGACCACGAAATCGCCAAAGCACAGCTTGGCTTGCGCCCTGCGTCGTCGTCTTGCTCGTCTCGGGCGGTCTCGAGCTATGCAGGTCGTCGTGCTGGTCAGCGCCCCGTCGCCTGATCCTAATTGTCGTCGCGCCGCTGAAGAATCACAGTGACGGGCGATTTGGTGCCGTGCGCAGCGCCCAAAAAACAAATGGGCATGGGAAAAACGGCCCTGGGGAAGGGGTCTGGACCTCAAGGGGTCGGCGTTGTAAACAGGAAGCGGCGTTGGAGTTCTGGGCACCAGCTTCAAGTCGGGCGTGTCCCTCTACATGAGGAGTATTCAAAAATAGACAAACAAACAACATTATGGGGACAATGCTTTGACTATTGTTGGCCATGCTTGAATACTGTTGGACTATTTCCAATATTTCCTCCAAAATCCGCCTGTAGGAGGACATGCCCGACCTAAGCCTAGATTCGTACATCGCGTGCTACGATGCTCTCCGCGCTCTTGAGCGGCCCCCTTTGAAGCAGGGTTGGCCCAGACCGCGGCGAAGATAGCAGGCGGCAAGAAACACGAGAACAAGGGCACGTGATCCACATGCAGCGGTGCGCTCATCTGGAAGTGAGCACATGGTCCAGAGCACACGATCCACGTGCGCGTGAGCACATGATCCACATGAGCACATGAGCCACACGAGCACGTGACCACGTGATGCAGAGCACATGATCCACAAGAGGATCAGGAGGAGGAGGAGGAAGAGGAGGATGAAGAGGAGGAGGAAGAGGAGGAGGAGGAGGAGGAGGGGAGGAGGAGGGGGAGGGGGAGGGGGAGGGGGAGGGGGGGGGAGGGGGAGGGGGAGGGGGAAGCACGTGCGCACATGATCCACATGCAGCGGTGCGCTCCTCTGGGCCAAGAGGGTTCGGCTGAATCACTGCGGCCCCGCCCATGGGAGCAGAGCGCTCGCCTGCTCTCTTGGCACCGAGGCCGGCGACAGCACGCCTCCACAGGGCAGCGCCGCACACACCACCGCGCGGGGGAGGAGGGGGAGGATGAGGAGGAGGAGGAGGAGGAGGAGGATGAGGAGGAGGAGGAGGAGGAGGAGGAGGAGGGCAAGGAGGAGAAGGAGGAGAAGGAGGAGGAGGAGGAGGCGGAGGAGGAGGAGGAGGGGCAGGAAGAAAATCCTGGAGGCAGCGCGCGGCAGCTTGAGACCCGACGTACGTCAGGTCTACGTCGGATTGTGTGTCGGGTTCACGTCGGACTGCGTCGGATTTGCATCGGAGTTGCGTCGGACGGACTCCTGAGCATCGCCGCGCGAGCATCGACCCATAACTTACGGAACTGACAAGTGGACTAGATCGTGCTACTCCTACGCGCCGCGCGAGACCTCCAGGATGTTCCTCATAACACACTGCTGCACTCGATAAGCCGAGGGGCGTTCGACGGCGATGCTGTCCTTACGAAGGAAGCCGACGAGATGCCGGCAGGCAGCGCCTGCCTGGCGGGGATGCGGAGACGCGTCCAGAGCGCAGGTGCTGCACACGAGCAGTCTGGGTCCCAGCCCTCGCTCGCTGGCTCCGCCAGGCGCGGCGACGCGCCTGCTTGGCACTCCAGCTTGGCGTCGGCCCCTGGCGCCGGGAAGTCGTCCAGCGTGTTGCGGCCCATCTCGTCGCAGAAGGCGTGGTTGAAGTTGGCGCAGCACCTCGGCGCAGAAGGGGGGGCCGACTCGGAAGCCGGGCGCCAAATCCGTGGCTGCTAGGATCGACCTCCGGGAAGTTGTCTTCGTCCTTCCGGGAAGAGGCCCGTTGACTGTTTCGCGTGCCGCGCCTGATTCCGGGAAGTCGTTTTTTTTCCTTCCAGGAGGGCCGTTTTAGCAGCCACGGTTTTAGCAGCCCTCGCCCAGCATCGACTGACCACAGGACCCCGGAGGACAGGTAGGGGGCCACATGCGAACCCTACCCCTACCCCCCACGATTTCTGAAGGGGAGGGTGGGGTTCACTTCGTTCGGGACCTCCCGAGCGAAGTGAACCCCACCCTCCCCCTCAGAAATCGTGGGGGGGGGTAGGGGTAGGGTTCGCATGTGGCCCCCTAACAGGGAGCACTTCGGGACACGGGGGGGGAATTGGCGAGCAAGAGCGTACACAGAGCTCTGCTGGGAGCCACGGGCTGCGAGCCTTCGCCCGAGACCTCAGTCGGAGCGGGGCGGGCGAGCGCTCCTGCGCCATCCCTGGGTCCGTGCCTGAAGTGGGCTCCCGCGAGGAGGGTTAACAAGGAAGGAGGTGTAGTGAGGAGCGACGCGAATAGAAAAAAAGTGGCCGGCCGAAAATCCTATAATCGAGTCCTGCCCCATTGTGGAACTGCGAAGGGGAGGGGGAGGGGGGGGCCCAATTTCTTGAATCGGGTGCCCATACTTTTATTGTTGATTGTAGTATTTTGTTGTCGTCCTAGCCCGCGACCATCCTCCCCGCGACCCGCCCGCGACCCGCCGGCGGCCAACCCGCGACCCACCCGAGACCGAGTCGCGACCCCCCCACGAAGCGTTGACAAGAGAAATCTGTGCCTGCCGCGGGCTGATTAAACATGTGTAATAAATCGGACCCTGCGGCGGGCTTCTTCAGAGCCTCGCAGCCTGCCGACGATCCCGCCGCCCCCTCACTCTTATCCGCGATTGCGGCGGCTATTGCAGGGATCGCGCTCTCGAAGTCACCCTGACGAATGTCCACTATACGTTGCGCGGTAGCGGCTGCGAGCAAAGTATCATGGTCGTGGTTCTGCCCCCCACGTCAGTGTGTCTTGCCGAAGAGCCACAACTGGGGGAGCTGCGTATATACCTTGTCTCCGCCCCCGGGGGAACCCCTCTTGCGAACCATCTCTCGAGAAACAAGAAACTGCAGAAACAAACTATGTCTAAGGTCCGCGCGGATTTTTTCGGATCGGCGCTGGACCCCACGTGCTGGCGCGCGGAATGGGGGCGGCGCCGGAGGCGCCGCCAAGAAAGGTCAACACTGATCTTCTGAGAAATCAGACTTCGGCCGTCTTGTCTTCTTCGAATATCTCGAGGGAGGTGTCGAGGCCAATGGATGCCCCCTGCGGGTAAGCACCACGACACCGCCCCCCCCCAAAACTGAGAGGCCTCCTCGATGAGCTCGGAGTAGATGAGGTCGGAGGATCGCGCCGCATCGCCGATCCGTCGGCGATGCATCGCCGATGCATCGGAGACGTCGGCGATGCATCGGCGACATCGGCGATGCAGCGGCGACGTTGGCGTGGAGAAACTCGGGCTCCACATCGAGCCACATCGCTGATGCACCGGCGGCGCGGCGCGATCCAACGGCCACGTCTACTCGAACCCTATCGAGGAGGCCTGCGGCGGGCAAGGACCACAACCCCCCTCCTCCCCCTCCCCCCCCCTCCTCCTCCTCCTCCTCGTCGTCGTCGTCGTCCTCCTCCTCCTCCTCCTCCTCCTCCTCCGCCTCCTCCCATGGCGGCCGTTCTTGGAAGCACCCCGTCCTGGCGCGGGTTGTGCGAGCCCCTCAGTGGGCAGCGCCCGCCCCCACGGGCTCGACCAGCCACACGGGCTGAGGGAGGCACATTTTGAGTTGGCCTCCCCCTCCTCCTCACTCCTCCTCCTCCTCCTTCTCCTCCTCGTCCTCCTCCTTCTCCTCGTCCTCCTCGTCCTCCTCCTCCTCCTCCTCCTCCTCCTCCTCCTCCTCCTCCTCCTCTCGTCCTCCTCTTCTCTCCTCCTCCTCCTCCTCTCCTCACCCTCCTCCCCCCCTCCTCCTCCTCCTCCTCCTCCTCCTCCTCCTCCTCCTCCTCCTCCTCCTCCTCCTCCTCCTCCTCCTCCTCCCCTCCTGCGGCAGGCCTCGTCTCGGACGGCCTCGTTGAGCCTGGTCGAATGCGGCCTCGTCGGGGGGCCGACCCACAGCCACTGCTGCCAGGGGCGATCCTGGCCCAAGGCGTTCCCAGCTCTTCGCGCCACTCTGAGACCCCGGGGGGGCCTCTGGGCCTTGCGGTGAGGTGCCGTGTGAAGCCATGGGGGCCTCGTGGAGGCCTCCCGGGAACTCCTGGGGGAGCCTTGGAAGAAAGGGCGCGTGGGCCCGTTTAATTGTTCGCGGCCGGCCCCGCCCCCTGAAAGGGTCGTAATCGAGTGCCCTGGAAGATAGCAGTATCCAGGTTAACTGGCCAACAACCATGCAGGTGCATCCGAACAAATTGAGTTTCGGGACCTTCGAGAAAAAGGCTGCCTCTTGGTGGCGGCTTACATCCAAATCTCCTCTGCGTCAGCCTTACAAGCAAAGGGGTTCTCTTTGCAACGGCCTTACCAAGGATGCCCTCTTGAAGAGTCCTTGTGAGCAGATTCCTCCTGTGGGGGTCTTACAAACAAATTGCCAACGGCCTTGCGAACGGATTGCTGGTGTGGCGATCTTGCGAAGTAACTCCCTCTTGTGAGAGGCGGAACATATTTGCAAAGCCAAAAAGTACAATGACCTCGTGGGAATTGTTGTGTTCGATGGTTGTGGTACCCGAGGCTGCAAACCATCAACAACAAAAAAAACATACAGTTCTTTCAGCAATGGAGCTTCCAAGCGCTGCGAAATTACGCTACCGAGGAATCCCACATACATCTATCATGGCTGGAGGGATGGTAACTAAAGTGAAGCACATGAGAATGATGTTGGTGGCCGTTCCCTGCGACCCCCCCATGCTGCCGAGAAAGTTCCACGCCTGGTACGCCCTGGACGACCTGCTCGGCTAGCGGCCGCGCTCAGAGACCACCAACTGCGGTCTCTAAGGTTACGAGAATATGCCACGCCTGCTACGCCCTCGACGACCGGCTCGGATAGCGGCCGCGCTCAGAAACCACGACCTACAACCCCCCAATGGCGTCGAGAAAGTGCCACGCCTGCTATGCCCTCGACGACGGCTCGGATAGCGGCCGCGCTCAGAGACCACGCCCTGCGCCCCCCCCTTTTTTCGAAAGTATGCCCCTGGACGACCGTCACGGATACCGGCCGCGGTGAGAGACCACCCCCTGCGCACCCCGTATGGAGATGAGAAAATGCCATGCCCGATGTGCCCCGGACGACCGTACCACCCCCTGCGCAACCCCATGATGCCGAGAATCTGCCGTGCCTGCTACGCCCTGGACGAGCGTCACGGATAGCGGCCGCGCTCGGACACCCTCTGCGCATTCCTTATGGTGTCGAGAATATGCCATGCCTGCTGTGCCCTGAACGGCCGTCATGGATACCGTCCGCGGTGAGAGACCACCCCCTGCGCACCCCCTATGGTGTCGAGAAAATGACATGCCTGCTGTGCCCTGGACGACCGTCACGGATAGCGGCCGCCCTCAGAGACCAGCCCCTGCGCACACCCTATGGTGTCGAGAAAATGCCATGCCTGCTGTGCCCTGGACGACCGTCACGGATATCGGCCGCGGTGAGAGACCACCCCCTGCGCACCCATTATGGTGTCGAGAATATGCCACGTTTGCCACGCTTTGCGAGCCCGCAACGGATAGGAAGACCACCCCAGAGCACCCCCTGTGGTGTCGAGAAAATGCCAAGCCTGCAACGCACTCCGACCCTGGCAGGCATAGAGGCCGCGCTCAGAGACCACCCCCTGCGCACCCCCACGATGTCGAGAATGTGCCATGCCTGCTATGCCCTGGACGACAGTCACGGACAGCGCTCGCCCTGGACGACAATCAGTCACCCTCTATGGTGTCGAGAAAGTGCCATGCCTGCTGTACCCTGGACCACCCCCTGCTCACAACCTATGGTGTCGAGAATCTGCCATGCCTGCTGTGCCCTGGACGACCGTCACGGATAGCGGCCGCGGTGAGAGACCACCCACTTCGCATCCCCCTTATGGTGTCGAAACAAATGCCATGCCTGCAACGTGTTGCGAGCCCACAACGGATGGGGAAACCACCCCAGAGCACCCCCTGTGGTGTCGAGAAAATGCCAAGCCTGCAACGCAATCTGACCCTGGCAGGCATAGAGGCCGCGCTCAGAGACCACCCCCTGCGCACCCCCACGATGTCGAGAATGTGCCAGTCCTGCTACGCCCTGGACGACAGTCACGGACAGCGGCCGCACTCGGTCACCATCCCCTGCGCACCCCCTCTGGTGACGAGAATCTGCCATGCCTGCTGTGCCCTGGCCGACCGTCACGGATAGCTGCCGCGGTGAGAGACCACCCCGCGCGCACCCCAAAAGGTGTCGAGACTATGCCATGCCTGCTATGCCCTGGACGACCGTCACGGATAGCGGTCGCGGTGAGAGACCACCCCCTGCGCACCCCCCATGGTGTCGAGAAAATGCCATGCCTTCTGTGCCCTGGACGACCGTCACGGATGTCGGCCGCGGTGAGAGACCACCCCCACGCGCACTCTTTATGGTGTCGAGAAAGCGCCATGCCCTGCGCCTTGGCCCGCATAGAGCCTCCTGCCATGCACTGCGAATCCTACACTCACGTATTGTATATGGCATGTCAGGCGTATGTGTATAATTCGTGCGCGCCCGTGCCAAGACGTGTGCCTTATGTGGGTGCCAAGTATGTTGTGCATGCGTATTGGGTGTATGATGCCGTGAACGCGCCAGGGGTGCACTAGCGCTGTATGGTGTGTGTGTGTGTGCGAATGCTGTATGGCGTGCGTCAGCTGACGGATGTCATGTGGTCATGCATGTATTTCCTCC